CGTGGATTTTCTGGTAAGACATGAATTTGATGGAAGACACAACTTTGCTGGAAGACAAGGATTTGCTGGAAGACATGGATTTTCTGGAAGCCATGGATTTGATGGAAGACATGGATTTTCTGGAAGACTTGGATAGGCTGGAAGACCTGGAGGTCATTGGAAGACATGGATTTCCTGGAAGACATGGATTTTCAGGAAGACCCGAATTGTCCGGAAGACCTGGATTATTTGGAAGACATAAATTTGCTGGAAGACCAGGAGGTTACTGGAAGACACAAATTTTCTGGAAGACATTAATCTCTAGGAAGACATAAATTTGCTGGAAGACTTGACTTTAGTGGAAGATGTCACTTTATTGGAAGACCTGGATTTAGTGGAAGACATAGATTTTTGTCTGGAAGACATGGGTTGACCGGAAGACTGGATTTGGTGGAAGACATGGACTAGTTGGAAGAATTGGATTTTTCTGGAAGATCTGTATTTGATGGAAGACGTAGATTTTTCTGGAAGACGTGAACTGGGTGGAAGACTTGGATTTCTTTCCGGAAGACACAGATTGACTGGAAGACCTGGATTTTTTCTGGAAGACGTAAATTAGCTGGAAGACTTAAATTGGTGGAAGACATAGATTTTTCTGGAAGACGTGGATTGGCTGGAAGATCTTGAAATTGTTGGAAGACATGGATTTTCCTGGAAGATATGGATTTTGTGGAAGACTTATAATTGCTGGAAGACATGGATTGTCTGGAAGACGTGGATTTTCTGGAAGACCTTGATGTTGTTGGAAGACTTGGAATTAGTTGGAAGACTTGGAGTTGCTGGAAGACCTGGAGTCGTTGGAAGACATTGGCGCCATTGGAAACCCTGGACATTGGAGACATTGCACAGGATGTTGGAGACATTGGAAGCCTTAGATTTTGAGGACATTCGTTATTCTGAACATTGGAGACTTTGGAGACCCTGAGTGTTGGAATTAGTGGATATTGGAAGCCGCGAATACTAGAAGCCCGAAACACTAGAGACATTGCAAATCCTGTACCTTGAAAGCCCTAAACATTGGAAGATATGAACAATAGAAGATCTAGACATTTAGAAATTTCAAAATCATAAGCCTTGGATATTGGGAGACACTGGAAAACCTGTATATTGATACATTCATGCTAAAAGACATAGAATTTGGAAGATATAATTTTCATGATGCTGGAAGTCAAGAATGTTGGCAGCCCTGAACCTTAGGACATCCGAAGAGATAAGGACATAAAGAGACCCACCCATTCAGACATCGGGGTTGTTGAAATATCTGAATGTTAGAAGATCAGGTCCTTAGAGATATTGAAAGACTTGGACATTGGAGGAACTTGTGATGACAAGACATTATAAAATCAGGCTCCAGGAGACACTAAAAGTTATAGGAACTGAATGATCTATGTGCTGGAAGACATGGGAAGAGCTAGACTTGGACACAATAAAATACGTGGACTCTAGAAGACCTGTATCTAGGACACATTGGAGGATTGGGAACATAGAAACACTGGAAGTTAGAACTCTAGACTCTGAAAGACAAGACCTGGAACTTGAAGACTGATTTTTGGAGATATTAGCAGACCTAGACTTTTAATGTCCCCAATAGTGAGGAGATTAGAAAACACTGGCCTTGGAGATGCTGCAGGCCAGAGAGTAGAAGACACAGATATTGTAAAATTTAGAAGATCTGGCAATTGGAGATGTTAGAAGCTATGGAGCCCAGAAGACCTGATGCTAGTGACACTGAAGAATTGAAAGACCTAGTCTTAGAGCTGTTGGAAAGCCATGTTGAAAAATATTGGCAATATTGAAAGACTTTACTATTAGGACCTGATGTTACAGTAAAGGTCATAAGGCTACTCTAACAGTCTTTATGATTATGGCATCTCTTTCACTAAACAGTAAAACACAGAGAAAGGACTTTTTAAGATGACACAGAAGAAGTGGGGAAATTCAATTAAAAGTAGTTTCAGTGGGTTAGAATCTACTTCAGAGTCTCAATGAACAGGGCTTCTGGGTATGTATTGACTGACAGCATGGGAATGAGAAATTATCAAAGATTAAGCAATATAAAGGCCAGGGGAACTACTTGGCTTTAGATCAGGGGTCAGCAAAAGTCTTCTGTAAAGGATCAAATAATAAATATATAAAGTTGTGCAGAGGCCATATGATTTCTGTTGCAACTACTCAACTCTGCCATTGTAGTGCAAGCCATAGACAATATGAGTAAACAAGTTGGGCCAGATTTGGCCCAAGTGCCTTAGTTTGCCAGGCCCAGCTCTAGATGCCAAATCTGGGGTATGGTAAACTTAAGTACATTCCAGGCTAGCGTTCACATGCAGAAGGGATAGAGCAATTTGAAGCCCAATGACAAGTAAAGATACCATGTATGTGATGATACTCAGGAGATGAGGCTGGCGAGAACCTAAGAATGGAGTTTAGATCTCCGATTGATTGTTTCAGGATTGTAACAAAGAGATTTGTATTCAGAGCCAAAATTAAGTGAGTAGCATTCAGGGCCCCAGCCCAAGGGGCTAAGATTCAGTGAGGATGCTCTAATTCTGTAGATTGGAAGCTTAAGAAGAAAACTAACAAAGAAACTCACCTCTACAGACTAGGGTTATCCTGCCAAGACTAAGCACCACTCACGCAGAGAGAGAGTCCCCAGCCCAGGACAGACAAGAAGTCAGTGGCAAAGCCCTCCCTCCAAGTCCCATGTTCTTGTCCTTAGGGCACTCATCACCCCACTGCCAAGTAATCAAGAGCCAACTCTAGGTGTCTGCAATGATGGAGGAGAACAGGAAGGAGATTACAGCGTGATAGGCTCATCTCAGGCACTCTGGCTTCTGGTGCTAAGTCTGATTTCTGATCTTATCCACCAGAGACTAAATGACAAGCTTAAGAGATGAAGATTGAACTATAGGCTGAAGATCTTTAGTACTTAAGGCCGATGGAGACAAGTACTATCACATATATTGCATGAAAGTGAACACTGGAAGACAAAACTGGCTAACATACACTGGGATTGGGCCTAGATTTAAAGATTAAGGAGTGGAATATACAGACAATGGGCAGCCACTGATGATTTTTGAACAAGAAAGTACCAGAATCAGAATTGTGCACAAGGAAAGTTAGTCAAGCAGCAAGGTGCTGAATGCCAAAGACTACTAAGCATATACACTAGAGCACCGAAGACTCCAAGTTCAAACACTTTAAGGGTTGGGATGTGAGTTATGAGGTCACTACAGTTGAGTTAAGGCAGTGCAGCTCTGCTGCTCGGCAGGCGTGGCGTTACAGTTATGATGAATACTCAGCGTTCTGAATACCGCTATTTCAAACTTCTTGAATGCCACCACATGAAACACAAAGAAGTTCAGAAGCTAGTTATGAAGAACTGTCTTGTCCTCACCTAGAAAGATTACTTAGACATCCAATTTCTCCCAAAGGCAGCTGCATTAAGAACTTCTGTGGTTTAAGCAAAGCTTTATCTTTGACTCCTATTAACACAGAATGGCTTAATTATCTTAAAAATGGAACCAAGTGGATGGATTATTTTCTAAAGAATAGGAACACATCCATGTGAAAAGAGTCATTACCTCTATTCTCTATATAAATAAATGTCATGCAATGATAACCACATAATAAATATAGCATACAGATTCACTGATGGTCAAGGTGTTACAGGGACGAAGGAATTATTATTTCAGGTCTCTCTCACAAGCCAACAAAGAAAAATATTTAACATCAATTTTTATTTCTTCTCTCTTCTTAAAACCATCATGCATAACTTGTTTTGAGAAAAATTTGATAAAATATCAAAATACTAAAATTTTGTAAAGACAGGAGTAAACGAGCATAGTCTAGTTCGATAATGCTTACTCATGTTGTAATAATAATAATAGCAACAAATTATTGTGCGCTTACTATGTGCCAGGCACTGTACTAAATGCTTCATACAATCTCATGGCAATCTTACAATGCAAGCATTTTCGACCCCGTTTTACAGATTGGAAACCTAAGTTTGAAATGGTTAAAAAACTCATGGCCACACTTACAGAGCTGGCAATCCGCAGGGACAGAATTGAAAGCAGGCAGGTCTGTCTCATTCCAAAGCCAAGGCTCCCTGCTGACTTCTCACACCCCAAGAGCCCAAGGGTTATCCCACCAGGACTGAGTACCACTCATCCAAAGAGACAGAGTCCCCAGCCCAGGGCAGACAAGAAGCCAGTGGCAAAGCCCTCCCTCTAAGTCCCATGTTCTTGTCCTTAGGGCACTCATCACCCCACTGCCAAGTAATCAAGAGCCAACTCTAGGTGTCTGCAATGATGGGTTAATCATACCTTTGGCTTTATATAGGAAGTATAACATCTCAAGCACATGATATTCATATTTAATTGCTCAATATTTGCTATTCATGCAATGAAATGTACTCTTTAGCCTTTCATCTGTTTTCTCTTTGATTTTATGGTTTCCAAGAACATACACACTCTGGTCATAGCACATAATACTTATTTCTGAATTCTTAGAAAAATAACCATAACACACTGATATCAAAGGCCATTAAAAGGTAATAAAACTATGTAAAGTTCAGTAGTCAATGCATTTCACAGCACAAACACAGTGCACACACTCTTTAGACTATATACGCTGTAGAACCTTATTAGCATTCAGGTGCCGGCAGCTACATAATCCAAATGTGGAGTTTAAAGAGCCTTCTTTGCATTTTGATCTTAAAAGATTTTAGGCAAACAAAAGGCTCTTTTTAAATGTAATGCCAGTTTTCTAATATTTTCTACAAATTTCAGCAACCTGGGCTGTCCTTTCTCTCCAGCTCCTTTTGCTTTTTTTCCCCTTTGCTCCAGTTGTTAAATATGTCTATAGAAAAGGAAATTTCCATGCACTTCATGATATGGAACACAAGCATTTCCCTGAACCATTTGACAACAGAAAGAGTCTTTCCACTCACACTGGGCATAAAATATACTAAAAGAAATTTCGGCCTTTCAATTTGAGGGACTATCCTTAACATTAAAAAGAAAAAAGAAATACCCATGTACATGGTGTTATTGTCATTAACTTCTATTTCTACCACTTAATCTATACCAACTTTCACATCCTCTTGTCAGTTCCACTCACTTGTTAAACTCAACCGTATTAAAATATTCCATCTTTACCCTCATCAACGATACTTTTTAGATTAGTTTAACTGGGTATTTCCTTACACAAGAATTAGATGTATCCCAATATTTTATTTCAAATGGCCTGGGACCTAGACACATGTTTCCATATATCAAGCCAAAGTCTGGACATTCCTACCACAACCAGAATCCTATAATAGTCAATTTCCCATTGTACTATTTTATATGAACAGTTCCTGGTTGATGATATTCAATTTAAAATTTGATTTCTCTAATCTGGTCAAATTAAGACCAAAAATTACCAAGGGAGTAATCTCAGTAAATAGTAAAATTATTAGGAAACCACATTCTTTAAAGGCATATAGAACTACTGATTATGCTGGTAAAACAATAACTGACTTAAAAATATGTACCTCTAGGTATGATTAAGAGCATGCCAATTATCCATGGAAACTTGAAACAGTAACACAAAGTTCTCTGCTTTGGTTTATGGAAACAATAGATACAAAATGTTAAAGTGTTTTATTCACAATATCTATGCATTATTATTTTCCCCAAACCTTATAAGTCAGAAGAAAAAGAGCAATTATCATATAGAAAGAAATTCACAGGAGGTACCCTATCTTTCCTTTCAGGACGTTGATGTTAAACTTATTTCCCTTTTTTCTATGCCATCTATATCCACCTCTCTTTTCTGGGAGGGACTAAAACATGGTAAAGTTTGACCCACAAGAACGATTTTTAAAATAAGAAGAACACAATACAGTTTAATATTACTACTTACCTTGGTCTCTTATGAAAAGGCTTAGGTACTCTCAAAATCAACCAATGAGGTCAATGCACCTTTCTCTCAAGGTCACAATGTCAGAGATAGAAGGACGTTAGAGACCAAGTGGTCCTATTTGCTCATTTGACAGATACAGAAAGAGTAGTGTGATTTAACTAAGCCCATCACTGAGCTAGTAGTGGCAGAGCAGAAACTTGGAATCAAGGTTTCCTCGCCCCTGAGCCCATATCATTTGTATTATATTTTCTGTTATAATTATGTTCAGACTCAGAGCAGTGGTCTGCAACCATGGCTGCATAAAAAAAATCACTTGAGGAGCTTTCAAAATATATAGCTGCTGGCCCCAGCCCTGATTCAGCATTTCTAGGGGCAGGTTCCAGAAATCCGTATTTTTCGAAGCTCCCCATAATGATTTTGATGTGCAGTGTTGAAAACCACCACGGCTTCATGAAAAGTGTAAGCTTTTCTGGCCCTGGGACGAGTCACTACATCCACCTCACCCTGGAATGGGTTTTCAACTTTCATCTGCCTCTTTTGAACTTGTTGAGGAACGTCTGCCCACTCATCTGTAACTATGCAAGCAAGACCTTTTAACTTTTGTAATTCTTTTCTTTTCTCTGATCACTTCAAACTCAGATACAGGTAGCCTATCATTCAGACCTCCAGGCTAAGGGGAAAATTACTGGCTTTCCACCATCCTTAGGGAGGAGGAAGTTTCAACATTCCTTTTCTGGAGGCTATTCAACCATTCAATTCACTGGGACAACCAGATACGAGAACAGAGACAATCCACGGAAATGAACCCTAGCAGCTTCTACTCCTTGATTAGGTAGCAGGGTAAATTCAGGAAGCCATTACAAATGTACTGCCTTCCAGAACCAACCATGCCTTTCAGGACCTTATACAATTGTCGTGAAATAAATTAAATTATACCAAACTAATTAAAAGGAGAGGATCTGGATTCTTTCTGTTGCGATAGCACGTTAGGCTTAAATAGAATTAAAATAAATTTCCAGATCAAAGTACAAAATCAAATTTTCCAATCAAGTAGAGTACTCCTCTCCCTAAGTACTAGAGTTGAGAGTTCCTGAAATCCTCATTGTAGGGGAATTTGTGTAGGAGGAATTTATGAGCTTTGGGGGGAAACTGGGGCAGAGAAGGGAGTGTTATGAAAGCCCAGACAATTGGTTTGTTCACTGAAATGAAACACTAAGTAAAGTGAACCTTGATGGTATTTTACAAATTTTACATTAGTAATAGTGATTATTGGGCAATTAATTTCTATTTCTCTCTCATCTCAAGGTGAGAAATCTCATGCATCAATGAGAACGCTGATCATCACAGTAGTGACAGGGAAAGGATGGAGAAAACAGGATCTCGTCTGCATTTGAGAAAGCTCAGTCTCTTGCTCCACTCTCATCCTTCGGCTCCATCACATCATCTGAGCTGTCAGAGTCTGAACCCCAAGGCTCAACTATCTGGGTTCCTGCTGCTGTTTGCAGGATGGTTCAGCCTCTTCTCCCTGTAGAAGCAAGCAGAGAGAAGAGACTTATTGGCCTTTGTTTGAAGGTTTCTTATTACTGCTTTATAGGGTTGTGGGTAATGATTTAAGCCTTGCCTGAAGGTCGATGAATATTCCACCAAAGATCCCCTTCCTCTAAATCATCACAGCAATCTGATTTGCAGAGTGGGTGCTTCAACATTCTTCGAGTTCTGGAAGTTAACCGATGCTGACCTCTCTTCATCAACTTTTAATGTGATCACATCACTGAAATATTTCTCTACTATCATCTGAGGGTCAGAATCTCACAGTTCAGCGGTGTCACCTAATTCACTGTCTTCAAATCCTTCACCACCCAAATGTTTTGCAGATGCTACATTTTCCACTTCTTCTGGCACTGAAAGGAAACTTTCAGAATCAGTTACAAGCTCATTCCGAAGTTTCTGCCAGGCTCCATTCAGGGCTGATTGTTTTATTTCTCTCAGTGATTCTATCGTTACAGCATTGCAAGTGGAGAAAAGTTGCCAGGCTACTTTCACAGTAAGTTCTGCTGTCTCTCTCACAAGATCTGCAAGGCAGTCAGATATACTGCCAGATGCATCGTTGGAAGGAGTGGAGTTGTACTGGGGGAATGAAGGTGACTTTAACACAAGGATCAGGATTTACTACCACACTTCTGTCAGTGGGAACACTGTCTATAATCAGCAACACTTTAAATTCAAGATGTTTTTGGTGTAAATATTATTTAACCTCAGGAATAAAATACTGCAAAAACCAGTCAAAAAGGAGTTTCTCAGTGATCCATGCTGTATGGTCTCCCTTTATGTACACAGGAAAGTGTTTCTGGCATTTTCTTTTAAGAGAGCAGGAATTTCAGAATCTGTGAAGCAACATGGGTTTCATCAGAAAAAGTCACCAGAAGCACTGGGACAGAGTGGAACTCTGAGCTTGTCTTTTTCAGGTGTGAAGCCTCTGGTCTTTTTCACATCCTTTGTAATAGATGTGCAAGAAGGCGTGAGCTTCTAGAATAGGCCTGTTTCATCAGCGTTGAAGATTCATTCAGGCAAATAGCCATTTTTCTCAGTCAGTTTCTTCAGATCTTCAGGAAGGATCTGCTTCCTCTGCTGGCCACTTCTTTTCACACAGACCATAGCATTTCTTAAACCTATCCAACCACCCATTACTCACAATAAATGTCGTAATTTTCTATCCAGATCAAAATTTAAAGTTGCATTTTTGTGGTACTTGCCGGTGGATTATACACATGGAAAGAGGCCTTCTCTGTTTTGGAAGCCACAAGTGCAAATCTCTTTTCATTCTCTCTATTTTAGCATTTCGAGGTATGTACGCTTTTCTCAATGACTACAGTGTGCCCCTGATGCACTGGCCCTAACAGCTTTCTCGTTTTTCTTTATTGATTCAGTAACACCAAAAAAAAAACACCCTACAGAGGTCTTGGTTTCACCGTAAACAAGCATTTCAAGAACTCCCATCTTGTTTGCTATAGATACCAGCTTTCCTTATCTGCCTCACTCTTGCATTTCTACCATCTACCTTCTCAGGTTTTTACCTGGATGCCATTCTTACCCAAACTTACACAAATTTACAGTTACTGAGGGTTTTATATCACTGAGCAATACACAACACTAATTTCTAATATATGACAAGCAAATGACAACATTCGCGAGACAAATAAAAAGGGCAAAACAGCTTTTGTGTGACGACACGTGTGCAGGCCTGCCGGCTGCAGAGGGACAGTAGGCAGAAGAGCCAGGGTAGACGCGAGCAACCCGGATGCTGGTCTTGTCCCATGAGACAGTCAGCAAGACAACAGGATGGTGACTCGAATTTGCATTTTGTTCCAAAACTCTCAAAGGGGCAGACTAAGTAAACTCAAATTTTGTGTGGGAGTGACTTGCAGTTGTGACAGGACCACAGAACTCGGGAGTTAAGGTCAGGCTACCAGGCTGAGATGAGAAGCATCACCATCTAGGGAGAAATAGAGAAAAACAGGAGGTGAAGTCAGAACAGAGCCGTCTGCACAAGCAGCTTATCAGCTGGTGAGGAGAACAGAAATGCGGACGGACGGTAACAATACATCCCGGATCGTGCTGACGAAGGCTCTTGCAATCTGCATGCTCACTAAGACTGGATGAGAATCCTTTTCCCCCACATGTTCACCAGATGAAGTATCATCAACCTTTGCAGTTTGTGCCAAGCAGAAGGGGAATAACAAGCCATCTCACTTTTGTTTGAATTTCCATTCCTTTGATCATCTTTCCATACAAGTAAGCCTTTTCTACTTTTTCACCTTTAAATTGTTCATAGCCTTTGCCCACTTTTTAACTTCTTTCTTACTGATTTGGAGGCCCAAGTAGCATATTAGGGAACTCATTCTTATTCTATCTCACAAAACATTTTCCCTAGGCCTGTTATTTACTTTTTAATTTTATTTAGTCTTTTTTCCATAAAGATGTTCCAAATATCTCTGTAGTCAAATGTTCATGCCTTGCTTTGAA